ACAGTCTCATTGTACCTGTACTGGTGGGTTAGGGTTAGATGCATCAGTGCTGACATTCAAGAAAATTCATGGCGCAGTCACGACGTAAGAACACCGCTTACAAACACGGTACAATCATGGTGAGGAAAGATGGAATGTGAACACACACTCAAAATGATGACGCAATAAACGCTAAGACAGCCAACACACGACACCCCTAGTCTAGATGTAGGAGTTTAAGTGGTTTAGGGTTAGCATTACATAAACACCAACTAACCTTTACCCTCTATAATATAGGACTGTCTGGGGAATTCTCTACGAAATCTCGGAGCTCCCGAGATAAGGTGAAAAAACAAAAAACACTTAATTCAATAAAAACTCCCCCTTCTCTTCTCTGGGAGACCTGTGGGTATATATATATATATTTTTTTTTTCTAGTCCACAAACTGTTATTTATAACAAGAGTTGAACCACCACCGCCTAAAATGGAGCTCTAGTACTCAATGATCATGAAATTGTTCGCATTCACTAACCTCTAAGCCAGCGTTCTTAAACATTTTTCGCCGCGGCACTCCTGTCGGCAAAATATTTTCGCGGCACACATACCCTTAAAATGGTTCGAATACTTATGAAAAAAAACAAAAAAAAAACGACTGTGCCCATTTAATGTTCAGTTGTCTTTAATGCAATAAATGAAACTATGTGGATGCGTTTTTCATTATTTCCCTAATATGTATGGGAAGTTTATTTAATTTTACCCTCAATTCACTTGACCCAGAAAAGTTTGCGCTGTATATATATATATATATATATATTTTTTTTTTTAAATGTAGGCGTACGCTGAGAATGCAACACAGCCTTGCCAGAAGCATTGTCTTCTGAATACACCTGCATCCAGAACTCTTCTTTGGCTTCCTTGGCGGTGTTTTTGTTTCAAACTGCTGTCTTCGCTGATCTCAGATTTTGAAAAAAAATCTTGTTTATTGTCGCGGGACCCCTGGCATGCGCTGGCGGCACCCAGTTTGAGAACCCCTGGTATGCGCTAGCGGCACCAAGTTTGAGAGCCCCTGCTCTAAGCCACACTACCTATATACTGCTTGCATGCTGCGGTTTAGACAGAGAGAAAGCCTATTGGCGGCCAGCGGGGCCCGTATGCCGTTCTCAGAACCGATTGCGAAGTCGAAGAATTGATTTTTATCAACGCGCTCTGAACGTAAGCCCAACACCCCTGTTGGACACAATAGCAGTGGACTGGTCTGCTTTTCGCGTCGACTTTGTTTTTTGTTTCCATGACCGGCCGACCTACGGGCCGCCAGTACAGAACAACAGACGCCGGGAACCAGTAGTTAAATAAAATAAAAATAAAAAAAAAAAACCGCGGATAAAGAGGTTACTGCGGAGTTGACACCCTAGCCATTTTACGCCTTGTTGTTTGTTGTTGACCCGGAAGTACATTGAGCACTTGCGCGTGGGCTTTCACAGTTCAAACCATGATATCAACTTTCAATCATGGATCTGAAGAGTCAAGGCTTCAGTGCACCTGATTTTATACCACAGGGCTAGAATAAGTCTCTCCGCAGGATGGCTGTCCGAGAGCGTATGGATTCCGTAGCTCCAGCGACGATCTGCGGGGATCTCAACAATCGTTTTCATGAAACAGTCCCACATATTTCAGAATGTGAAGCAAATGGTTTAATCACTAAGCCACGGAGATTTTTTCCTAATCTCTCTACCCTCAACCATCATCATGTTCCCTAATCTCTCTACCCTCAACCGTCATCATGTGGCGCAGGCCGGTCAAACTTAGGACCCTTTGGGGCATATTTGTGTCGGCACGAGCGCCATACACGACAACATATTGAAGCAGTTTAGTGAAAAACTCTGCGGGCCACCGGTGTGCTTGCAAAGGGCCGCATGCGGGCCACCAGTTTGACATGCCTGATGTGGCGTTTTTTTTTGCAGAACGTTGCTCTCATCGCGGTCAGCCTAAAAGAAACTCGGTCTCTTGCCAACGCTCTTGCCTAGTGCACTTTACTACCCAAGATGTCACACATTCTGTGCCCATCTTTGTGCTGGTCGGCCCCTACCCCTCTTTCATGACACCATGATTTCTGCTATTATTATTCTTCTTTCCAGTTCACCGTAGCGCTTAATACGACCGGAATGTTTCAGTTTCCGAGACCCGATCCTGTTTACGAGCCAATTTTCCTTGGTGTTCATATCTTTTAAGGATGTCAGTATGACTTTTCTGTTAATCGGCACTCCGACGGCCGTTACTGTCTAGAACAGTAGCTGGTTCTTTAAAAACAAAACGATTTTTACGTTCCGGGATTGCATTCTTTGATTAACATCTCAAGGATGAGAATCACACAGCTACAAATCCCGGAAACCCCATTTAACCCTATAGCCGCATAGCACCGTTTTATTGGGGCAGCAAAAAACGGTAACCTGCACTCCATTGTTGATGAGTGTTAATATATTTTAGGCTGGGTCGACCTGGGAAAGAAAAAAAAAGTCGACTGGATGGGGTTTGAACCTGTGACTTTCCGGTCAGCATGCGAGCGTCTAGCTACTGCGCTACCGCGGCTGGCTAGAAAGAAGGAAGTTCATACCATTATGACTGTCAAACAGCCGATTTTTTAGTTTATGCCAAGGTTTTCCAACAGCCATAATGGTCACCGAATAATGTGTGGACCACACATGCATGCACATACACGATTTTAAACAAACAAACATACACGCGCGCGCGCACACACACACACACCATTTTTTGTGCAGAGGCACAGAATGTAAACAATTCAAGTTCCGTTCTAGAAAATACAACCCGACCACGTTTAACCTGCTGTTGGCAGCATGCTGGAGAAGGCCCACTACTCACATAGGTATGTTACTACAGTGGTGAGCTGCCAACAGGCTCCTGTCGTGTCTGTGGTCTGGTTTATTTGCGCCCTTTACGTGGCTAAAATTGTGTTACGTGCGCCAGCTCTCTGGCTGAATGTTCCTTTCCTTGGAGGCAGGCGGCTCCTTCCTTTTGTTTTTTGTGGCCCAAAAATGTAAACAATAGAAGTTCCATTAGGGATTAGAGAGGGACAGGGCGACAGAAAGCCAAGTGGTGCAGAACCAGATAGTCTGTTTGCTTGTTCATTTCCTAACACACCTGCATATCCTAAAGAAAATATCCACAGGATGATACCCGGGAATTTTGGAGCGATGCTTGCCACTCCGCAGGGGGGACAGAAAGAGATATACGCGAACATTATAAATTGCCGAGTAACGGATAATAATGTAAGGTGCACGAACTTAATCAGAATTTCAAACATCAGAGAATTGGAGAGTGACATATGTTCACTACAGACAAGGCACCGGAAGAAAAAAAAAAACGAAGAGAAAGAAGGCGGCATTCGTTAATTGCGACAAAGTTACTAATATCTCGTTATTAAAGTGGCCAAACCGTTTACATAGCGTGGTGAAGATAGGGAGCCCGTTTTTATACTTCCCCGTTCGTTGACGAGCGCAGTATTTTCAGAGATCTAATGGTATCTCGCTGAAGCTCTAGAGTTGGTGCTCTATACAACGCCCTCGACAGGCTCTTGGTCACCTCTGGAGATCGGGTTGTGTGGGTTAACTACTCGTTACCAGAAATCTAGCTCCACAGGAGCAGACTCTGCGAGAGGTACCGTGTCACCAGTGAAGACCTTAAGCACTTCGTTCTGTTGGAGACCCACGAGGGAATAGATGCACAGCAAACGTTGATCATTAAACGAGCTCTAAAGACAGTCGCCTTGCCTGACCTTGTCGCTTCAGTGACTCGACTCACTTCTTGTATCAAATGAATGGTAACAATGGATGACAGTCACACGCTGTGCCGCAGATATCAGACGTAAAGTCATCTGGGCAGATTTAGCAGTTGGTATCATCTGTGTTTGCCCTAGATATTCGTGTTCTGGATCAGTTCATGCCACCGATCGATGCTATGGGTACAGCTAAACAGGCAACCTTTTAGACCATAACCTTTTAAAGGTCACAGAGATGGTTGTCACCTGTTTGGTGCGGAATTTTTCTCTCCATAAGTTTCATTGCACTTTTACAGCTTCAGGGACAGTCGTTTGGTGTTTTTCCCCCTAGGAGATTGAAGTTTAAAGTTTTGAACAGCGGACCAACAAAACACACGGGTAGTAACCCATAGGTGCTCCGTTCTTTTTCTAACTCAGGTCTGAGTCCGACGAAGCTCAGACAGTGCACAAGCCCTGTAGCACCGGCGAGGATCCTGAAATACTTTAGGTAGAATTTTAACTCATAATTTTGTCCCGGCAGCGCCGTTAGGCTACTCTTTGATTTCCAACTGCCGACTGTACCATTCACACGGGCGTTCGATCTCACTACCCATAGACCAAGGGAAACCCTTAGTGTATTATTCGTAAACAATTCAATGGATAATAAAGGGATATTAAATAACCCCGTCCAGACGAAATTGATTGCAATTTTTCAAGAAGATCTTTGTGGGCTGTTCATTGAGCTACAGATACAGAGTTCATGCTTTGTACAGCACTCTCGACAAACGGCTAGCCGTTTTTCCCTCAGGTGTGATCGAGCCTGGAGGAAATATCAGTGTGGCGGTTGCACTGTTTGATGTTAGACGAGGCGCAACAGAGATCATTCCCACATCAAGATAACATCGCAACAGCTGATGAATATGTTGAGAGGGGAATCTGAGCACCTATGGGTGTGTCCGGAGTGCTGTGAAGAAAATCTTAAAGCAATGTTTTTTTTTTTAATTTGTATTTTTTTTATAATGAAATTGGGAAAAGTATGTTATATAATATCAGAATTGCTTGACCTCCCTCTTTAGGCTATCTTTTTTCTTCTAGGCCCCCCTAGGAAACCACTTGTTTATGGGTTTCTCTGCGGTCACTGATAAAACTATATGGAAGTCTACATGTAATAATAAAGCTTGTAATTCACACTGCAGAACATTTCTCGTGCAGTTTTATTTCATGATTTCATGTTTCTGTCTTTCACAGGGTTTTGTAAATTCAGGGTACAGTGTCAATGGCATGGCACCAGTAAGTACTGCTTATGTCGTTTGTGCTGTGTTTGTCTACCACGTCTTTTGTTCATTGTCTTTATTCTTACCTTGCTGTCTTAGTGTGGTCATGTTTGTATTGCTCATGCTGTCTCATGATGTACACACAGGCATGCTTCGTGCAGAGTGGCAAGCATCACTTCAGAGGTCCCGGGTAGTTAGCATCCTTTGGGTATTTTCTCCAGGTAATGCCAGTGTGTTGGGAAATGAGCAGGCAGATCGACTGGCCTGCTCTGGACCACTTGGTGGGGAATTGATGTATGACAAGCTAGATATTGTGAGGGCCCTTTGGGAACGAATGAACAGTGCGGAGGCGCAAATATATCATTACTGTCGGAGGAGTTGCCAGGGGATGTCGCCGACGCTTATCACTCAGGGGAAGGATGAGACGAATTTACAAGCAGACAGTTACTGGTGCTATCGGAATTGGAACTCTTCGCTAGCTGCTGAAGATGGGGATGGAGCACTTATGGGAGTGTCCTGAGTGCTGTTATGTTGATTCCTAATTCAACATTCAAGACGTTGACACGTTTTACACCGTCTCATTATCTTCATACTAATTTTCCTGTCTCAGTATTACTGGCTTTTACACTGTCTCAGTATTACTGGCTTTCACACTATCTCAGTATTACTGGCTTTCACAATGTCTCAGTATTACTGGCTTTTACACTGTCTCAGTATTACTGGCTTTTACACTGTCTCAGTATTACTGGCTTTCACACTGTCTCATTATTACTGGCTTTTACACTGTCTCAGTATTACTGGCTTTCACACTGTCTCAGTATTACTGGCTTTTACACTGTCTCAGTATTACTGGCTTTTACACTGTCTCAGTATTACTGGCTTTCACACTGTCTCAGTATTACTGGCTTTTACACTGTCTCAGTATTACTGGCTTTTACACTGTCTCAGTATTACTGGCTTTCACAATGTCTCAGTATTACTGGCTTTTACACTGTCTCAGTATTACTGGCTTTCACAATGTCTCAGTATTACTGGCTTTCACAATGTCTCAGTATTACTGGCTTTCACACTGTCTCAGTATTACTGGCTTTTACACTGTCTCAGTATTACTGGCTTTCACACTGTCTCATTATTACTGGCTTTTACACTGTCTCAGTATTACTGGCTTTCACAATGTCTCAGTATTACTGGCTTTTACACTGTCTCAGTATTACTGGCTTTTACACTGTCTCAGTATTACTGGCTTTCACACTGTCTCAGTATTACTGGCTTTTACACTGTCTCAGTATTACTGGCTTTCACACTGTCTCAGTATTACTGGCTTTCACACTATCTCAGTATTACTGGCTTTTACACTGTCTCATTATTACTGGCTTTTACACTGTCTCAGTATTACTGGCTTTTACACTATCTCAGTATTACTGGCTTTTACACTTATCTCATTATTACTGGCTTTCACACTGTCTCAGTATTACTGACCTTTACACTATCTCAGTATTACTGGCTTTTACACTGTCTCAGTATTACTGGCTTTTACACTTATCTCAATATTACTGGCTTTTACACTTATCTCAATATTACTGGCTTTTACACTTATCTCATTATTACTGGCTTTCACACTGTCTCAATATTACTGGCTTTTACACTATCTCAGTATTACTGGCTTTCACACTGTCTCAGTATTACTGGCTTTTACACTTATCTCATTATTACTGGCTTTCACACTGTCTCAGTATTACTGGCTTTTACACTATCTCAGTATAACTGGCTTTCACACTGTCTCAGTATTACTGGCTTTTACACTATCTCAGTATTACTGGCTTTTACACTATCTCAGTATTACTGGCTTTCACACTGTCTCAGTATTACTGGCTTTTACACTATCTCAGTATTACTGGCTTTTACACTGTCTCAGTATTACTGGCTTTCACACTGTCTCAGTATTACTGGCTTTTACACTATCTCAGTATTACTGGCTTTCACACTGTCTCAGTATTACTGGCTTTTACACTTATCTCATTATTACTGGCTTTCACACTGTCTCAGTATTACTGGCTTTTACACTATCTCAGTATTACTGGCTTTTACACTGTCTCAGTATTACTGGCTTTCACAATGTCTCAGTATTACTGGCTTTTACACTGTCTCAGTATTACTGGCTTTTACACTGTCTCAGTATTACTGGCTTTTACACTATCTCAGTATTACTGGCTTTTACACTGTCTCAGTATTACTGGCTTTTACACTATCTCAGTATTACTGGCTTTCACACTGTCTCAGTATTACTGGCTTTTACACTTATCTCATTATTACTGGCTTTCACACTGTCTCAGTATTACTGGCTTTTACACTTATCTCATTATTACTGGCTTTCACACTGTCTCAGTATTACTGGCTTTTACAATGTCTCAGTATTACTGGCTTTTACACTGTCTCAGTATTACTGGCTTTCACAATGTCTCAGTATTACTGGCTTTTACACTGTCTCAGTATTACTGGCTTTCACACTGTCTCAGTATTACTGGCTTTTACACTATCTCGGTATTACTGGCTTTTACACTGTCTCGGTATTACTGGCTTTTACACTGTCTCAGTATTACTGGCTTTTACACTGTCTCAGTATTACTGGCTTTTACACTGTCTCAGTATTACTGGCTTTTGCACTGTCTCAGTATTACTGGCTTTTACACTGTCTCAGTATTACTGGCTTTCACACTATCTCAGTATTACTGGCTTTTACACTGTCTCAGTATTACTGGCTTTTACACTGTCTCAGTATTACTGGCTTCCACACTGTCTCAGTATTACTGGCTTTCACACTGTCTCAGTATTACTGGCTTCCACACTTATCTCATTATTACTGGCTTTTACACTGTCTCAGTATTACTGGCTTCCACTTTATCTCAGTATTACTGGCTTTCACACTGTTTCAGTATATTCACATTTAATTTGCATCCGCAGTCTTCACACTGTTTACCCGCCTCTTTGTCTTCATTCTGTTCTTGATATCTCATAGTCTGTACACGTTCCATGCCGTCACTGTTATCGAGCTTCTCATTACGTCTCACTGTCTTCTTTCATCTGACAATCACTATATGCATATTTCTCGTGTTGTCTCTGTCATCTTTCCGTCTCACTGTCTCATATCACATCGCTGCCCGGCTCGCTCGCGCTGTTGACTAAACCTGACTGCTCGGCGACCAGGTGACGAACTCCTTGTGGTCCGGGTTTACGCCCGGGGGTAGGCAGAAAAGCCACATTTCTCCCAGATTTACAGTATCTATCATGGAATCAAGGCCGAAGGGTTGTGATATCCATAGTACCGACTCATGGTTTCTGGATACATTAAAATTTAAAAAAAAATCACATCGCTGTATTCACATATCTCTTTGTCTCTGTAATGATGACACTCATTACAGCTCACTGCTTTGCAGTGTTGATGCGATCAATGGAGACCGACCCAAATACTGTCCTTATCGGCGGCGAAGTCGTCTACCGGCGAGCCAGCTGGCGACCCGGTCGCCGATAAGACATTATAGTGACACATTGTGAACACACTGGAAGGTTTAAATTGGCGCACAATAAAACTGTCTTTCTAAATGCAAGGCAACGAGATTTATAAAAAAAATCTCTTTAATAAGCTATACCAGATTCACATTGGAATTCGCCAGTGCACGCTAGGGTTTTAAATAACTTAAATATTTCAGGCGTTTCATTTAATTTTACGAAACTTCAAGGCTGTTGAGAGAGAAAGAATCTGTTGGCAGGCTGAACATGCCTTGCAGGCATACATAGTCGCCTGGTCCCGCGCTGTGTTATTGTGGTTGTGGCTGTGTAGACACAGGTAGCGAAACGATGGCAATACCACAGTGCAGAACAGTGCATACTTTTTCGTGTTGGTGACATACTTTTTCAGACAGACAGTACAGCCTGCTAGCAAACCAGAGGTTAAGTTGAACTGAACCTCTCAAAGAGATTAAAAAAAAACACATACACACACACACGCGCACACACACACACACGCGCGCGCACACACACACACAGCTTTACCTTTGCGCGACACACTTCCACACTGTAGCCAACACACTAATGTGTCGTGACACAGTTTTGAAAGCCTTGCACCAGTGCTTTGCAACACCTACCATCAAACACATTTTAAATGCTGCCGTGGGCGTATGAAATAGTGCAGTATATGTGCGTCTGTATGTACACGCATGCAGACACACACACACATATACATACATATGTGTATAACGCACACCATCAGGTAGGTGCGTTGATGATTGGCGTGAGCAACTATGGTTTGGTTTTATACAACGGATCAACATCATGGTACAAGTGTAGTAAACCAAAAGTGCTCTGTTCTACTTCTGACTCAAGCACGAATCTAAAGAATATGAGCGCAGTGCACGAACTCTGTAGAAACGACGAGGATTCTGAAATACTTTGGGTAGATTTTTAACTCCAAATTTTGCCCAGGCGGCGCCTTTAGGCTACTCTTTTTGATTTCCAACAACAGGGATTTTTTCGTGCGCATGATTACACACGGGCGTCCGATCTTACTACAAAAGACCAAGGGAATTTACTAGAAGTCCACGTGAAAAAAATCCCAGCCCTCATTGGGGCCTACCACTATGTTTCTCTATATATTCAAGAGGAGTGAATAAATATAAGAGAAAATTGGGCATGGCAACCACTGGTATCGGCAGTTGTAAGACAGCGAAGGTGGTGCTGTTTTGGACACGTTTTGAAGAAAGAACAGAGAATAAACAAACGGGCACTGAAATGGGAAATACAGAGATTGAAGAAGTGGGGACGCCAAAGAGAAACCCGAAGCAGAACGTTGATGGAAAAACCCAGAGATGTTCCATAGATAAAATGAACGGGATTGAACAGAATGGAGACGTGGATGATTGCTAGCCTTGTGTGATTTATAACAGATGGAATACAATCAGATACCATTTGGCCTCTCAACAACAACGTTCGTCTCAGGGTTTCTCTTGAACGACCTTATTT